AGAGTAACTAGAAACTCCTTTGCTGGGACTCGCACAAGACGGCCGTTGAAAGTCATGTGCATACGAAGTTAATACAAGAAAAACTCTTAGGAGATGTTCGACTAATCTTTGCATTGTGCAACTCGTTCTCATTTCTCAAAAAAGTGTTTATCCACAGGCTACATCGTAGAGCTTTTATCATTTTCAACTTATCAGACTAGGCAATAAAAGCGCTTCTCAAACCCTGCAAGCGATGGTAACAGCAATATTCACGCAAACTCCTCACTTTACTGCAACGGTCCGCCCTCCGGATGGGTTGTGAAAGCCGCAAACACAGGCCGCAGTAGTTTTTGGGGTCGCAGCTCGTCCGCTCTGTATGAGCCTTTATTTTTAGAACCTTTGGAGAAATAAGATAAAAGTTTGACTTGAGAATAATTACATATGCATGAACGATGTGGATCAATGGCTAAACGAGGTCTAACGACTCGTCGTGAGCTTAGTTTTTCAACTGAGATCAACTAAACAAACTTCAGTACGGCTCCTTATTTAACAACCTAGTGTTTGATTTTGTGCCCAATCATGTGTTCATCAATCCCCCGACAAACCGTTCCATCTTGTTACTCATTGGTTTAGTCATAAAAATAGTGTTGGTCATATGAGAAAGTACTCATAACCTTTCATCAATGCTTCATCTTCATGCAAAAAAACGTGAATTGCAGTTTTTAGGGGGCTGAAGTAGAATGCATTGATACATTGAAGCATGCAGACCTGTACATCTCAAAAGTAGTGTGTGGCCAAAAATCGGTTTCTGAATCATGCACTTGCCTGCTTTATTCCGCTACGTTGAATACGCACAAAAGATGCGTAAGGCAGCGCGAACATCGCAAGAATAGACTTTCCCCAAGGACTGTCGTTTTCGAATTTGTAACGAGTGCGTTTGTGCGTTTTCGCCAAGGCCAAGAAGCAGTGCTGCTATAGGCCCCTGTGACCTTGACTGCAATGGCATGCGTATTTTGCTGCTGAGGAGAGCATCCACAAGAGGACTTGATCTCCGATTGCAAAGTAGGTTTGCCAATCGCTCCACCGTTTCTCTATTTTTGCCATGCCCCGCACTTGTGCGATGGCTTGCCCAGCGGGCGTTTTCGCCTAACAAGAAATTTCAGAACCCTTGACGTTGTTTCGACACACTTCCTTCTATTGCTAGAGTCTAATCTTCCTGTCCAGTGAAATGACATACGAACACTTGCTTGAACAGACACATTCATTTTTGAATTTTTCTTGATCTCCTGCATTTACAGATCAAAGCTGTGGTCGAATTTAGTCACTGTTTAGTGCTACAGATGACCGTAGTTACATATCAAACACACGGTGAGGAAAACTGAATAGCACTAAAATGCATAACAATCCGAGCTCATGTTGGAACAACACCTCGTGGACTATCTTGACAAAAAAGTTGGCGACAAAAAATCCACTCCCAAAGTGGCGTTGCTTAGCACTGCTGGAGACAACACTGATGGTGATAAGATTGACCCGCTCAGCAGAGTAGGTGACAATATATCAGGTGAGAGAACATATGGAGATAGAATCAACGGTGACATCACATAAGGAGTCAGCACATTTGGTGATAGGACGTATGGCGTTAGCACTTGCGCAATCATCACAGAAGGTGAAAGTACGATTGGTGATAATACATAAGGTGAAAGTACCATCGGGTCTCCTACCTAAATAAA